TTTTTTTTTTTTTTTTTGGAAAGCCGGGGCCGGGGGTGCCGACCCCCGACCCCCGGGACCCCCACCGGGGCCCCGGGTCCGGGGGTCGACAACCCTGATCATCTGTGATTCTGCTGGAGCGATCATTTCGGTTTCTTTAATTTCAGCGTCTGTCTCAGGGTCATCGATGCTTTTGGTTATCCCGACTCCCGTTAATTCCGTCATTTCCTGCATGAGATCCGGAACGTCGGTGATCAGGGCTTCTGCCTTTTCTTGGATCAAGGCGACAACGGCTCCTTGCGTGAGTAGTGATCGGGGAGGGGAGACGGAGAGATCCAAGTATTGGTTCATCTGTTGATATCTCGCTCGGAGGGACAGTGTGCCCTCGTATAATGTGCGAGGGGGTTCCAAAAGATCGGCCAGGTCTGAGACTTGCAAGATCGGTTCTCCCAAAAAGGTCGTAGGGAGCGTCTGATTTTCCGTAGGTAAGGGACGGCTGGAGTCGCTGTTATCCGAACTTAGATCGAACGTCCGAGTGGTTGCAGGAATCATCTAAAATTCCTCCTTCGTCTCGCGTTCGAACATTTCGACTAACTGCTTTCACTCTTCGCGGTTGGGCATGGCGCTGAGTTCTTCTTCGTACTCGTGCTCATTGAACTCGTCTTCCGAGTTCGCGGGGGATTTATCAATATTCCGGATCATCCTTATCCGATTAATATCGGAATATTTCCGCGGGGATCGGGTGGAGATTCGGAGAGGGAGCGTCTAGGGCTTCCCTCCCGTTTGAGTGAGGACGAGTTCTCTTGAGTCGAGATGGACTCGAGCCCCTACTGCCATCGCCCAAGGTAATCCCAACAAGATTGAATAAGAATGTACGTCTATGACTAACGCATTAACCAACACATGCACTCGACCTACCTTGATTGCGATATTCTCGTTGATTCCTACGATATTCATGGCTTCCTCATCGGTCGAGACGTAGTCATCCCGCCCGGGTAGAGGAAGGATAGAGTTCAGTCGTCCAGTTTTTCGGACTGTGTTCAAGGAGATGGCGACTGTCGATGATCCGGTATCAATCAATGCATCAAAAGGTTTGCCCCAGACTTCACAATCGCATTTCGCGCTTTTCCATAGGACCGATCGCACTCGTACAAAGTGATTTTTCTCTGCATAGGAGATAGTTGCGATTCGGGCTGGTTTAGTTTTATTTGTGGTAACTACTGGGGGCGGATTAGCTTCGTTTTCGTCGTCTTGCTTCTTTTTCAGCATACGCTGAACGCGTTGATAGGTGAAGCGTTTCTGATTTTTCTGACACTGTTGTAAAAGCTTATCATTCGCGGCCTCGGATATAGTCAGCAGATGTCCTACAGGGATTGGCACTCGAATATCTAACTGTTTGAGTGTCTGTAGGAGATTAATTTCTCCTGTCTGAAACTGGGGTCCTGGTTCCAATGTTCGTTCGACCCAATCGAGTTCTTCTTTGGCGGGTCGGATCGCTCCGATCAGACCGGCCAGCTGAAGGTACTCAGTGGGATCGACGACATCCGCGGCTTTAGAGGATCCTAACGTGGATGCGCCCTGATCACCTGAGTGCGGCTGATCAGTGATGAATGGGGAAGCCTCCCTTGCCTGTTCTAATACCGTGGCCACTCGTCCCTGGTTCAAAGCTACAGGCGCGGCCGCAGGGGGCGGCTGATTGCATTTAGTTCATCAATTTTCGCTTATGGTTTATCTTGGTTGTATGGCTTATCCGGAGGAAATATTGATTTAAAAAGAAATGCCCTGGCCGCTTGCAATTATAGCATTCGATTCTTCCTGCTGGATTAGCCATCTGAAGAGGAGCCGTAAGCAACAGATACTGAGCAGGAACGGGGCAAGAAGGGCCAGAATTAGCCTTTACCAGTTTAGTCATGATCTGTTCTAGTCAATCCATTTGAGAGGCCTGTATTTGCAACAGATTATTCATCCATTCGGACTGTTTAGTCGTGGTAGTGTGGATCATTTGTGCTAAATGCAGATTGGTGATGGGGACCGAGGCGGTTTCTTGAGCCATGACTGTGTTTACGGGTGCGATCTTTGGAGGAGGAGGTCTTGAGAGGAGTAGGGGATGAGACGAGGAAGACTCCGGGGTAGGGCCGTCCTGATAATCGTGATCGGGTCGGGGGAAGAATCGTTCTACCGCTCTGAGCCAAAATCGCTTCTTGGCCGCCACATCTTGGATTGTATCCGAGATGTCTTCCTCTCCCTGTCGGATGTATTTACGTGTATCCAACAGATCCAATTCGAGGGCTTCGGCTATGATGACTGACAGCTGGTTATTCTTGGGAGGTACCTTTTTCTGCAGTTTCGCTTTCAACTCGGGATTACGAAGATGATCGATGAACAAATCTCGAGCCGCGTTTTCTTCCCGCCGTGACTTGTCTAAGGCGGTCTGAAATCGATCTACAAAATCAGGTAGTAATTCCCCAGGTTCTTGTGGGCGGGTTTTTAGTACAAACCAGGCGGCATCTTCACTGACCGCGTCGAATCGTGCCAAGAACGCCCGTTTGAAAGTATCCCAATCTACCCACCTGTGTCTTCTAAACCAATCGTGCGCAGTGTTTCAAAGTAGCAAGGTGAGGACGCGGGGAAGATCCTCGGCGCCATAGCCTTGCGCTTGCACGGCTTCAAGCCATGCCTCCGGGTGGGTGTAGTTAGGATAGAAGGGAAAAGTGGCGGGGATGCTTACCATCACCCGCGGAGGCGCTCCATTGGCTTCGACCATAGGCATCTCCGGTCGGGCTTCGACAGATCTTTGCCTGGTGACCGGCGGACTGAGGCGGTTAGGTTGTTTAGCGACTCTTCCTCTCGCCGTCTCATCTCACTAGTGTCATAACCGACACGTGTCGGCTCCGATACCAACCTCACGCCCCGTGTTGTCTTTCGTTCGGAGTGCTAAGTGTGCGGAAAAGAGGCCCAGAAAAACAGCAAGATGGGGTGTGCCAAGGATTTTTGGGAAATTGAGTGTGGGGACACAGACAAAACTGAAATCCCCCTTGACGGTCCGATGAAGTGAGACGATTGTTTTTCGCGCATTGCAGAATGCGCGCGCGAATTCGGCGTGAAAGGAGAGAGGAATACAAAGTTTTAATCCAAAAAGTACTGTCGGACTTCCCACCGTGCTACGGCCCTTCGTTTAGAGCAAAAAGGCTTCGGCACGCTCCGCGTGTCTCGCTTGCGTATTAAGTCACCGCGTCGCTCGCTAGTCAGTTCCGAATCCGACGTGGAGGGTCTCACTCGTGTGGCTCTTTCTCTATGTTCGTCGTTGTTCCGTATACGGTAGTGAAAGCCCTTGGATTTGTAGCGCTCGAAACGCAGGCACTCAGTGCACAGAGTGCGAGGCCAGTGGGGTTCCACTGCTGTCCACGGAATGACGATCAACTCGTTAAAGGGCAACAATATCGAGTAGGGCGAAAAGTGAGTATCGATAATGACAAATCCAGCATCCACGAATCCCGAGCAACGGTTTTCGGGAGGGAAGTAATATCGTCCGCCGATCCGTGCGACAACTTCTCGCACGTCCCACTCGCATACACGTGTCCTTTCCTCGTTGTAAGGAAAAGGGAGCGTCGGCGTGGGAGATACGGGAGGCTAAAGCCCGATCGAAGGGCGTTCGTCGGTCCACATGTCAATCAATTGCAAAAATCCCGAGGCATCATCAAGCAAAACCGCCCGCACAACCACTAATCAATTCTTTTCGACACGAGAGAGAGAGAGAGAGAGAGAGAGAGAGAGAGAGAGAGAGAGAGAGAGAGAGAGAGAGAGAGAGAGCACTTATCGATTTGATCATGCCCTTAACCGAGGGACTGACCCGCGACTTAGGTTTTAATAAGCCACGCGACGTTGATTCGAGGCGCCTTGTTTTTCGAGGCAGCCTTGTAAATCGGTTGCAGATGTCGTGCAGCATAAGGCCGTGGATTTCCAGTATGGCCCCGGGCCAATTCACTCACTCAACTCCAATCACCGATCCTCATACTCGCACCGACGATCCCGGTCGTCGCGTGCCAACTTCCACCGCTGCGATCGTCACCCCGCCGACGCAACCTCGACGCGGTTCGCCCCGATCCCACAGTCCGTCGTGGCGATCCAGCGCGCAACCGGCCAGCCTGTTGTCAGCCCGACAAGACTTTCCGACTCGCACCAAACACTCCGCCTAGCCACTGCTTCCCGGAAGTTGGTTTGGGAGTCGAGAACGTAAGAGAGATTTGCGGACGCGCTTGCGGACTTTATAGTTGCGGCAAGGAGGACAAGGGAGGGAGAAGGCAGAGGGAAAGTCGGGGTGTAAGAGAAGAAGCAGGAGGAGAAGACTTAGCGGGGAGCGGGCTGCGGAAACCATGTTGATCCTTCAGAACCCAATGGTCAGCCAATCAGATTCGTCGCGCAATAGGAAGATCCTCTTGTTCAACGCGTTTGACTGGTGAGCAGGGGTGATCGGAGGATTAACCGGGCCCCGCGAGTCAAGGTTGATGAGCGGGAAGAGATGAAGCGCGAAATGCAGCGTGAGACGGAACCAAGATTCAGACGATCAAGAAAGGGAAGCAAGCGCGCAAAAAAAGCAGCGAGGGAAAAACAGTTGCGATATGAAAAGGAGAAGAGGGGGAAGGGAGAGGGGAGAGTGCGGGGGAAGGATGGCACGGGAAATAAGGAGGAGGATGATCGCATGTGCAGTGCCGACAGCAAGAGAAAAAGGCACCGAAACAGTTACAGCTTGCCTATATCCTACACCAATTCAAAAATTGAAATCACCATATCCGCGCGCGAAAGTCGACGAGGGAAAAGAAAGTCCTATGCCTATCAGTATTCTCGCAAAATTCCTAGAGTTTTCTCCGACGTGACCGAGAACATTCATGCAAGGAAAAAGATACGTCGGGCTCCGCTTATTCCGTTATTCCTAACTGTCGAGCCCGATTCCCAGTGCGCTCGCTAAGGCGCGCGAAATTTCCCGTGCATTTCCCGAATTGCAAAAAGACAGAATTCCAAAAATCAATAGAACTTTCGAAAAATGGGGGCTCAATCAAGGTGCTTGAAATCAAGAAATGCGACAAGGGTCCTGTGGGGTTGGTATGGTACACAAGGGGGTATTGGGCCAAGGGGGTACGAAAGATAGCACGGGGCCGGGAAGTAGTTCGTCACAGGGCACCGTCGGCCGAAGACTTGTAGAGTACTCTTGCACACCTGCCTGCAACCACGGTTTTTGCAAGGGTGGTCGGATGGTTTTTTGAAAGGCCGCGGGATTTGTAGATCGAGCCTGGGTCTGGATGGACAAACCAGGCTGCACTGCACTCCAGGATTCACAAGAGCGTGACAAGAGTGTTTCATGAGCGGGACTATCTAGAGTAAGTGCAGCCACGACCGAACTCTAGTCCATTTCGGGACTCTGACAACTCATGATGCGCTTTGAGAATTTTCACGAATTAAAAAAATAATAATAAAAAAAGGAAAAGTTTCGAAATGCCCCTGAAGTTTGGGTTTATTTGCGGCGTGCCCTTCTGACGGCCGACTTACCTTGTCGCGCCCCTCTGACAACAAATGATGTTTCCAGAAAACCCCTGGCGTAGTTTGGGCCTCAAACGTGTTTCATATGCCCGTACCGGTACCGGTACCAAATTTTCAGTATGCCCCTACCGGCTGCCTGTTGAGAACCAGCAGAAAAGTTTCCCATATGCCCTTACTGGTACCTTCCAAGTTTCCAGCAAGCCCCTGTCGCCGTTGTTGACACTCGCAGTCCATACGAGGGAAGTGGAGGGAAGAGGGGGGAAGAGTAGGGAGGACAAGGACTATGGGCCTCGCTCCACACCACTCCACTTTAGAAATACTTGAGAAATTCACCGTTCTACACTGCACTGCACTTGACTTTCACTTTCCCTAATCGTGATTAGGCTTCTCGCCTCTCCCGAGGCCTGCCGAAAACGTCAAGCGCAGCTCAAGTGCGGCCCAGGCGAATCGGTGAATTTTTTCAAAGTCACCTCTCCGGCCACACTTGAGCCGCAGTTCAAAACGGCGCAAGTGAGAGTGAGGAGGCGGTTGCAGGTACTGTACGGCCCCCCCCGTCGTTTTATCGTTTGCTTTTTTGCATTGGTGTAGTCGACTCCCCTCTTCCCTTGCACCAACAGCCGCAGCCACTTTCCGGCTTCAGTTTGGAGTGTGGAGTGGAGGGTAACGTCGAACGGTGACAGGCTCAAGTATTTTTTAATGACGATTGCCCTGTGAGCCGGCTCAAGTACGGCCCTTGAAAGTGAAGTGAAGTGGTGTGGAACGAGGCCTTATGACGATGACGAACGAGGGAGGAACGAGGGAAAAGGAGTAGGGAGGACATTCAATTCGTCATCATATACCACCTGTCCAACAAGTAAACAAAAAGATGACAACAACACACACACACACACACACACACCAAATGACTAAAAAACGAACGACAAACACCTTCGATTCGTCATCATGTACCACCTCTCCAACCAACAAGTAAACGAAAAGATGACGCGAACACACACACACACACACACACACACACACACACACACACACACACAAACACACACACGCGCGTGCGTGTGCAGGGGCGATGACACCAAGAAGATGGCCATGGTGATGGTTAGGAGGTCGACAATCGAGGAGGAGGAGGAGAGGGAGGGGTGACGAGGAGAGTTGGAGGAGGGAGAAAGAGGGAAGAGGAGGGAGGAGGGGCAGGGAGGACAAGGACTATGACAATGGATGAGGATAGAGGATGGAGGCTGGCGGAGAAGAGAGGAGAGCATGGATGGAGGAGGAGGGAGGAGGGCGATGACGCCGATGAGCATGGGTGGAGGAGGAGGGAGCAGCGATCCATGGCGCGGCGAACTCAAAGACTGACTACTGCACCATTTTTCCGTGGCGGCGCGAAATACCTACCATTTTCGAGTTCAAATTCGTGCCGCCACTGCTGCAAGGGCATCACAGAAAGATGTGTGCCCCTCGTGAGGGCATTTCAAGGATGGACCGATAAAACTCCACCAGTGGTCCGGTAAGGGCATCTCAAAAAGGTACGCCCCATGCTGACAGGGGCCTGCAGAAAAATTTCAGAGGGCCGAGGGGCATAACAGGGTAAGTCGGCCTTCACAGGGCCACGCACATATATGCAAACTTCAGGGGCATTTTGAAAAATTTCCCTAAAACAAATAAAAATAAATAAATTCACGAGTCATGAAGTAGTGCAGCGAGACCCTTTGTCTTTCCCAAAAAAAAAAAAAAAAAAAAAAAAAGACCCTTTGTCTCTTCGTTGCGATATCCGCACGTTCAACTACTTCCTCTAAATGATAAGGGTCAGGTTCAATGTACTTCTCACAGCACCCCCGCGCCAAACTTTCTCTCAATTTCATATTTCACGTTTCACTAAACGGGATCTTACTTCTGTGCGCCATTCCCCAAAAAAAGAAAAAAAAAAAACTTCTGTGCGCCATTCAGCCACGAAGCAGAGGGGCGCCGCTGAGAAGTGCGCGGTCAGTGCTGTCGCATTTCACTGTGTCTTTCCACTGTGACCGTGACTGACGCGAAAAATTGCGTTGATTTCGTCAAAGGGCCTCTGGCGCCACTCCTCTCGAAATGCGCAAAACGAGAGTGAATCTTCCGTTAGAACATGGAAAGATACGCCGCCATGATTTTTGTCGTTTCTGCATGTCCAGCAGAGTAGTAGAACGAGGCCCGATCTTGGTGTAGCGGGCGACGGTTGTCACCATGACGTAGCGCGAAGGCTTACACTTACACAGCCGACGTCTTCGACCACGACGTAGCCGCGGAGGAGAGAGCACGACACGTGGACTGCATGCATGTGTAGACCGGCGATCCCGCTGGCAAAATGGAAAACATTGTTCGTCTATCGGTGTGAAGAGGGAAAGACAGAGACGGAAAGCTCTCCATCGCTCCTTTACCTGGAAGAAGGGCAGACAAGCAAGCGGCCTAGATGCACTGGGTACTCAAGCAAACGCTCGATTCCCCACTCGCTATGCGCGACACAGAGTGTTTCAGGTAGGACCGACCTACGCTGTCGATCGCTCCTCTTCAGGCGTCTTCTTCTCGTTCTTCGTCTTCTTCTTCCTCTTCTTCTTCGTCTTCTTCTTCTTTCGTCTTGCTCTGGGCGGGCTGCTACGGTGGATGCGGGGGAGAGGTTGCCCATTGATAAGTCCTGGTGCGCAGCTAGGTGAAAGGCGTCGGGGAATGTGCCGTTGAGCAATAGCTCTGTCTGTGATGCTTGATACTTTTTTCTGCTGTTGATGCGCTTCGTTCTTCGTTCTTCGTTCTTCGTTCTTCGTTCTTCTTCTTCTTCTTCTTCTCATCTCCTCGTTTCTGATCTTTACTCTGTCCATGCGCGTGCTTCTTCTTCTTCTTCTTCCTCTTACACATTTGTAAGCGTGGACGCGCGGCGATTGGCCTCGCTACGTCTATTCTGTCTTCTTCTTCTTCTTCTTCTTCTTCTTCTTCTTCTTCTTCTTCTCTCTCTTGTTTCGGTGATCCACCGAGAAAAGTGCGCGATTAAGGTGGTGGTGTTGAAACCGCTGTGTAATGATTGGATGGGTGCACGAGGGCCGGTGTTCGCCGCTGCAAATAGCTAGCTGTAATTCGCACTTGCGCAATGCCACCTCTCGATCCATGCGTCTCCTGTAGGGAGAACCCGCTGATGTGAGCGATTCGTTTCTTCAGGCTCTCGGTGGATTGTGCGGTGGATGCGGGAGTGTGGAAACCCCTCCCTCGATGGGGAGTGTGGAAAACCCCTCCCTCGATACAGAGTAAGTCCTGGCGACATCCTTCCGAGTGTGCGCGTTGGTGAGCTTAGCTATTTTTCTGTGCACGTGCTTTGATGTACTCTGTTTGAAGCAATAGACGCAGAGAGGGAGTGGCCTTGCTTTGTCACTTCTTCTTCTTCTTGCATGCTCAGTATGAAGGGAGGTATGATCGGTGGGCCGAAAGGCTGGGGTTTGTGGTTAGCCCCCTGAGGATGATCGGAGCGCAGCCGATCGAAACGCGTCGGGGAATGTGCGCGTGAGCTGAGATTAGTATGCGCGGCTATGTAATGAAGATTTTCTAAGCGTGTACGAAAGGCAGTTGGCCACTGTTTCCACTATTCTTCTTCTTCTTCTTCTTCTTCTTCTTCTTCTTCTTCTTCTATTTCTTGTTCTTCTTGTTCTTCTTGTTCTTCTTCTTGTTCTTCTTGTTCTTCTTCTATTTGCTTTGAAGCAATAGACGCAGAGAGGCAGAGGCCGTACAGGTGAGCCCAGCGTCCGTAAGGGCGAGACAGTCATTTGCGCGCAGTCATCTGTTATGGACTGGCGGGATGCTCACTTTCTCTTTTACGCGTTTTAGTAGGAGGCGATTGCCATCCACGCCCCCATTTGGTTGGAAAGTGAAAGAAAGTTGCGCGCCGAGCATTCTTCCAGCAAGGCCATAGGTTGGGTGGAGATACCGTCGCGTCGCCACACACACACACACACACAC